GGAGGTGGAGACAGCAGGATCTCAGAGGCTCATTGGCCAGCCACCCTAGCCTAGGCTATTTGGTGAGATTCAGGTTCAGCAAGGAACTTTATCTCAAAAAGTGAAGACAAGAGGGATAAAGGAAGAGGCCATATGCTCACCTATGTATGGGCATGCACTTGCATACACACATTAACATACACATCATACACACACACACAAAATAACCAACAGAATTATTCCAAAGGGTATTATTATTACTATACTTTGTGTGAGATAGGTCTCTTGTCAAAGCTATCTTTGAACTCCCTATTTAACCAAGGATGAGCTTGAACTCCTTCCTGATTCTTCTGCCTCTACTATCCAAGTTCTATACTTATAGGTGTGGTATACCATTGTGTCCAATTTATAAATTACTGGAGACGGAGCCCAGGATTTTATGCAAGCCCTCTACTGATTTAGCTATATCCTCAGCTGCATATACTTTTTTTCTTGTTTATTTCTTGAGGCAGGGTTTCTCTGTGTAGCCCTGGCTATCCTAGAACTCACTCTGTAGACCAGACTTGCCTAGAACTCAGAGATCTGCCTGTGTCTGCCTCCCAAGTGCTAGGATTAAAGGCGGGCACCACTTCCACCTAGCTCTGCATACACGTTTTTAATTAAACACACACACACACACACACACACACACACGTTACAGTTGTATAGCTTGGCATGTTTGTGGAGCTGCTAGCTGTGAGACCAGGACCTGGTGCTTGAGCTGACTTTTGGGAACCTATTCCCCATGCAGGGTGTCTAGCCCAGCATTGATGTAGGGAGAGGAGGTGCTCCTGTCTCAACTTGCTGTGCCGTGTTTTATTGACAGCCATGGCAGACTTGTCTCTTTCTGAACAGAGAAGGAGGAATAGTGGATGGGTGAGGGGAGGTGGGGGAGGGAACAGGAGGAAGGAGGGAGGGAGGGGAAACTGAGATCCTGATATAAAATAAATGAAAAAATTTGATTAATGAAATGAAAAAGAAAAACAATTAAAGCAACTGTTAAAAAATCACAAAACAGTACATCAAGAAACATATTGAGTTCTTCTTTATCTTTAAATTTGTGTAAAGCATTGCAGACTCTAAGGATTAAGCCCCGCAGTCAATGAAGTGATTGAATGACTGTGGTTGTCATTATTGCTTACCTGGGGTTTTTATTGCTTACATGGGGTTTGTACCGTTCCTCTACTGAGTATTAGTTGCTTACACCATTTAAGCAGTTCTGTGGGACTGACTGTCTTTTGATCTGCAGTGCTTGCTACAGGACCAGGTACTGATTTTCTTATGTTTTAAAGCTGACTTGAAGGGTTAAAGATTCAGGTGAGGATTGCTTCCGTTTTCATAAAACCTCTTAATGACTCACACACAACTTGCGTCTGATTTCTCACATGAGTCTCCAGGCAGTCCTGTCAGGTTGCATTGCCACCCAGCATGCCAGGCTGTGCTCCCCAGCACTTTGTTCCTCAGACAGAAGAGAGCCTGGGACTCTAAGCACACAGGTGAATGTGCTGATGGCCACACGGGGTCAATACAGCTGAGCTATGATCGCCATTCAACTCCCGAACCTTCACTCTTTTCTCTCAGTTGTTTACCTCTTTTGCAAAGAACAGCCATCATGAACAAGGTGGCCGCAGGTCTCTAGAGACACCATAGAGGTCAAATCTTCACTCAGGACAATTGGCTTTACTCTAATATCACTGGGTTGGAGACTGGCATTAGCAGTGGCTGAGCCCGAACACAAGAGAACAGACAGTTTTAGGACCCTGGGCCTTGAACCAGAATAATCCTGTCTGAGGCCTATTAACATGGCTTGCTGCTTGTGGAGGCTGCAGGGAGCAGAGGGGGGGCTGATGCTGGAGTTTTGATGTCTCCCAGAATATCGACTAATGTGTGTCTGTTGGACAGGGAGAGATCAAAGCTCTCTGAAGAGAGCAAAGGCGGAGGCCTGGCCTCAAGCGGGGGGCCGCAAATGATGCCCCCTCCCTAGTCTTCACTGCCAGGGTCCTGCCTCTCACTGGTGGGCTCCTGTCTCATAGGACAACTGCAGTGTTTGGAAAGGGAGGGTGGAGCTCTCACCTGTCAATCTCCATGGAAACATCATTGAACTATGTTCTCTTAGTCCGTAAAAATATTCAAGTTCACCTTAGCTTTCAGAGAGGCCCTAGAAAAAATATCAGCCATGCTTGGAATGACAATTATAACAGTTTTTGTTTTGTATGTCTGTTATTGGCTGAACATTGTTTGATACATTTTTAATATCTTACCCTGTTTGATCCTTAACACAGCTCCTTCCTTCCTTCTTCCCTCCCTTCCTTCCTTCTTTCTTTTCTTCCATTTATATCAATATATTTTTACTGAACTTGAGCAAAGTGTCAGGCATGCAATGGCCATGAACAAGATACAACATGGTTTCTGACACCCTCTGATGGCTGGCGGGCAGGAATGAGTAACCAAACTAATAAACAGGATTATTGCAAGTTGCGGCAGGAGCAAGAACAAAAACAAACAAATACAAGAAACAAATAACTTTGGTATTGTTGGTTTTGTACACTGGCCATAACAATTATGACAAACTTAATATCTAAAATTATGGAAAATTCAAGTGGGTGTGGTGGACCACAACTAGAAACTCAGTGGTTAATAGGCTACCAACTTGGGCTACATAGTGAGACCCTATCTAAAAAATCAAAGAAAAATCAAATATAAACAAACTGCAACCCCCCCAAATATATATATATATGTATATATATATATATATATATATATATATATACACACACACAGTTCCAGAGCAAGAAATCCAAAGTAGGGTGTTGGCTGAAACATGCTCCCTTACAAGGCAATCAGAGAGGGTGTTCTGGGGACCCTTCCTAGATTTCAGTAGCTCCCAAGAAAGTGCTTGCTTATAGATGTATCATCTTAGTGCCCAATTTAACAGTCATCTGTCCTTCTGGCCCCTGTATCTTTATGTAGGACTTGTAGAAAGACATCATTCATAGAATTTAGGACTCATGTCTACAACTATACCACTTTCAAAATATTTCATTTCATCTGATCTAGGAGGCTGAGGAGGGTTGGTCCTGCTTAGTACATGGATGGGAGAATTTATGATGTGCCCTAATCTAGTATAACTTGATTTAATTCAATTTTATATTTCAATTGCTCTTCATTTCACTGAAGTCACATTCTGAGATTCCAAGTAGTGATATTTTTCAAAGATACTAGAAAACCCAGGGCATCACTGCCAAATCTAGTGGCACTGCTAACATGTATTTAGGTGCATGCCCATCGATTCCAACATTCACTTTATTAGCTGTATCTTTCCAGAAGCGGTCAATGGACAGGAGAGAAGAAAGTACAACTCAAAGTCCCATTCTAGGAAGAAGCTTGGTGTCTTCTTGGCTTTGGTTCCTTGAAACTGCCCCATGGAATTCTAGTACCCTTTCATGCTTTATAAAATCACTGAGAAGACGAGTAGAGATAAAAAATACTGTAGACTCTTAGAAACTGTCCGGCAAATGGCAGATGTTAAATAAATGACACTTTCCAATAAATCTTCCAGCAATGACTCTTGGTGTTTACATGTAAAATCTATTTGGAATGTTGTTTGGGAGCTGACAGGACATCTCAGTATGTCAGAGAACTTTCTTTGAAAGCATGAGGACCCAAGTTCAAATCTCTAGCAATTACATAAAGAGCCAAGAATGTAGGATATCAAGATGGCTCAGGGAGTACAAAAGCTTGCTCCCTGATGACACAAGTTTGAGGACCTGAGTTGAACCCCTAAAATCCACACAAATATGGAAGGAGAACCCCACATATACACCATAGCATGTATGCACATCACACAAGGGGGTGGGAGAAAAAGAAAGACAGAAAGATTGAAGAAAAGAGAGAGAGAGAGAGAGAGAGAGAGAGAGAGAGAGAGAGAGAGAGAGAGAGAGAGAGAAAGTCATTATAGTGTTGCTACAGGTACATACAACTACCAACACTCAGGGATATCACTGTCTCATCTAGATTGGGAAGATTTTTAGAGGTTCCCCATGTCAAGTGACACAAAGGAATGATTGGCATCTAACTGTCTTGGCAGGTGTTGGCAGACATCATTCCTGTTCTTAGGTCTTACATCAGGTTCAGATACCTTCAAGAGTTATATATCCTTTATTCTAAGGGAACACTGAATATTATTCTTCAATCTCTTGTGTGAAATTCTATCAGACTGGTTTTGCTAGCATACCACAGGAAGTGGATGAAAGTGCGTTCTAACCAGACATATAGGTGCACATCTATAATTTTAGCTCATAGGAAGCACAGGCAGAAGAATTTCCAGTTCAAGGACAGCTACATAGTCAGATTCTCTCAAACACCCCAAGCAAGCAAGCAAACAAACAAAACCTAGATTCCCTCAGCTATACCCTGAGGTCTTAATTCAGTGGGTCAGAGGTCCTATGGTTCAATAGTAACCTTAGTTGACTTCGTGTTGTCTCTGGATATGGAACAATAGGAGAAGAGATTGTTGTATGTCTGTTCATATTTGCCTGGCTTCACTGCAAGGCTATCCACTTCTGTGATCTTGTATGTCCTAGAGCATTTGGTAAGGCTCAACCCACAGTAGAGGGTCACCAGTCTCAATACCATCAGCTTAGAGAGTGACATCGCAGAATCTCTGCTAATTACATTATGTTTTAAAGGAAACAAAAACTACAAATGGGTCAAACTATAGCCTTTCATCTTTGTCCCTTTCTCTCTACCTCTTTCTATTTACTTCTCTCCATGTCCTTCCTTTCTCTTGTCATTTCTTCCTTCTATCTGTCCCTCCTTTTCTTCCATTTCCTTCCTTTTGTTTTGTTTTGTTTTGTTTTTTGAGACAGGGTTTCTCTGTATTGTTTTGGAGGCTGTCCTGGAACTTGCTCTGTAGAACAGGCTGGCCTTGAACTCACAGAGAACTGCCTGCCTCTGCCTCCCGAGTACTGGGATTAAAGGCGTGTGCCACCAACGCCTGGCTTTTCCTTCCTTTTTTATCCCTTCTAATTTCTTTAGTCTTGCTCCTCTAGGCCCCTCATTGTATTCTTCTTTTGCCTGCCGCTGCCTGTGTAAGTAGCTGGAATCTGCCCTGTAACCTATGCAACCAGGCCAGAAAATGGGGCTGGAAGACCAATACAAAGTGGCATGTCTGGCTTAAGTCTCCAGGCCTAAGCTGCAGGGTCTAAAGCCATCTCTGTCACATCTCTGTGTCTGGACATGATTCAAACTTGATATATTAATGAGAGTATTGGTTTCCTCTGTGGTCATTGTCTTCTGTGAATATGGGGAGGAAGGTCACAGAGTAAGTTTAGATTGTTCAAGTTTCTATCCATTATCACATTTAGTATCATAGGATGTACACCTGTCATTCCTGAGAGAGGAGTGGTGCTCTGGGATGCTCACAGGTATTCAGAGAAAGACATTTATACCCATATATTATGTCCTTGGAGGAGACTTTCATGTGCCTGTCACAGCAAGCTCTTCCAAATTCAAGAGCAGCTCCCAGTTTCTAGGCCAGTTCTCCTGTACTGGCAGTAACACTACCTTTTGGACCTTGGCTCAATAGGAAAGTGGGATTCTTTTGCCTTAAAATGTCTTTGTAGGCACTTACACCACAGATGGCCTGGAAGATTCCCTAAGCACCCACATCACTCATATTATTCTGTCTCATCTTCATGACAACCAACAAAATAATTTGCCAGGTGAAGGAATAGAGACATGGAGAAAGTGACAAGCCCTCAGGACATGTACTTAGTGAGAACACCCGCTGCTTACACTACAGCAAACCAAATGCTGAGGGTCCAAAACTTTTGAGCATTCCTCAACAGTCCTCCTCAAATCTCAGTGTCAAGAACAATGAATAGACAGTCCCTAAACCCATATGCACACAACAATATCTGGAGCATTATTGGTAGAATAAGCAGGATTTCCATAGCATATTTATACACTTCCTGATTCCTGAATGTTAATGAACATCTAACTGCAAAGAAAAAAATAAATAGAATAACACACCCACAAAAATGTCCCATGGGATACAGGCTGATGTGGTAATAGGAAGCTGGAGCCTCAGCCTGGCATCAGGATCTTTCTGGAATAAAAGATGCATGGATAAAAACATGCTGTAACTGGGCCTAGGACACACACTTGACCTTGCATCCAACAAAAGGTGAATGCTCTCTTTTACAGCTGCCAGAGACGAGCTCTTCTTTATGAGTGAGAGCATCTTCTGCTATTTGGCTGAACAACTTATCTTTGAACCTGAGTGGGAGCTCTTTGTACTTGTCCTCAGATATGTTTCCTGGATAATGAGAGTGAATTATCCTTCTGTTAGGGGTTTACATAGCATCGAGGGCAGAAGGGGTCATCTATGAATCACACAAGCTTGGGATTTCTGCATAGGGCATCTTGTGAATTGAAATACCATGAGTCTGGGAACAGGAGGGTGATATTGTATCTCCTCTGACCTTCTAAGAAGGGGCCAATCTGCAATTAGAATCAACCAGAGTCATCGCAAGGATGTCTGTTTGTTAGGGGATTTAGACATAGATGTAATGGATGCAGCCCAGTTGCAATGAAAAACTGTTTGGGGGCAAGGTATAAGACTTCTCTGGGTCTCAAAGTTGAGCACCCAAAGGAAATCTTTATAGGCTGCTTTATAGATACTTTATAAAGCATACCCTATCAATTGATTTCTGGTTTAGCTTATTGCTCTTTTCGGGTGCAGGGATAAATACTGGTGGTACCTGAATTCGCTCAAGAGTATTAGAAGCAAATATTCACCTGTTACTCATCCATCAATAAATCCACCTATTCATCTTTTCTATTTAAAAACAACAGCCATAGTCAGTACAAGGAAGGTGACCTGGGCTTACTGCCCAGTTCCCTAAGTCTAACACTAGGCTGTCGTCACAGTCATTTGTTTGGGTTGGCTTCATAATGACCTTTTGAGACAAACATTTTTATAATTCTAAATGTAGAGATAACAATAAGTAACTTAGAGCAGTTGTGTCATTTACCAAGTCTTGAACAGTTCCTATATGAGGGAGTGGTATCCATAGAGTACCATACTGTACAGTCTTAAATGACAACAAATAATAATACAACTAGGAATTTCTGAGGAGAGCAATGTTGACCTACAGAGAAAACCGAGTCACCTGGGATAATAGATATCCATCCTGCATATGATAGGAAGGGGAGAGCTAAGCTTGCAAAATTTATCTAAGTAAGAGACAGAGGTTAGGAGAACCCCACCTCATCTATGTAAGCAGCTGGAATCCAGGCAACCAGTCTGGAAGATCGGGCTGGAAGGCCAATACAAAGTGGCATGTCTGGCTTAAGTCTCCAGGCCTAAGTTGCAGGGTCTAAAGCCATCTCTGTCACATCCCTGTGTCTGGACATGATTCCTCCCTAACCTACGGCCACTGGATTGGGCAGGAGTAGCTCAGGGCCATGGCCAAGACATAAGCTGAATGATATGCATGTCCCACTTTGCCACCTTGAGATCCTCCTGACAGTCCAGCCCCATGTGTGTGCATGCACTGTGAGGATATCCCTGTGGGAACTTTGATTAACAAGAGACCTTTGGTTGAGATGAAGCCTAAGCTATTCCAGTGGTGATTCTGTAGTAAAGGTAATTGCCAAGGTCCAGACTTTCGAACGAAACCCTGAAATGCATTACAAACTTCAGCCACTAGCAGCGACCCAACCCAGTCATTCTGCTAGGCCGAGCCTCACCTAAATTCCAGAAGGCCAGAATTATAAGCAATTAGGATGTCATGGTGTTTAGTGTTTTCCACCTGGTGTAAATGTAGATGAAGTGTCTCAAAACTATGGCTAGTTTCTCCCTATTCTTGAATCTCCTATATGTGCTATATTGTAGCCACTCATCAAATAGTTTCAGATGAGCTATTATTCACCAGTGAGAGGGGTAAAGAACGCTCAGAGCGACACTCAGAAGGGTATCTGGAATAGTGATAGCAGAGGCAGGATTAGTAATGGTGACACAACAGTAGCCCTGCTTCAGTGGGAGTCAATAGAGAATGTTTAGCATGGCTGCAAGGTAGCAGACTTTTAATGGGTTCATATGGACAGTGAAGAGCAGATAGAAGGAATCCATGCAACTGAAGCTATAGGTGGGTCACACCCTCCTTCACAGCTGCTCACTCACAGATCCTCTGGCATGCCACAGTTCTGCTGCTTTGTCTGTGTATCTCACATGTAGCTCTCCTCATACTTACAACCCCCCACATCTCAAGCTCAAGGTCTATTCCTGAGTGGATGGCTCACTGGGTCTCTCTATTGATTTCTCACCCTTCCTGGGTAGGGACAATATCTGGCTCATCTGTTGCCCAGCAAGATTCTGGCACATAGTAGGTGTTGATAAATGTTTGCTGAACAAAATGGAGTTGGGACCAATGCCCAAAAGGCAGATTCTCTCATTTCCATTGTTCAAAAATACCATGGATTTCTTTTTATGAATTATACATTGCACAAATTAATTTATCCAGAACTGTTTCCCCATCCACAGCTTCCAAAGAATGTAGCCCACATTCCAACAACAACAACAAAGCCTGACTAGCATCTATCTCCTATGTGAATCCCCAAAACTACTTGTGAGTAGGTCCAAGGAAAGGTGCTGAGAGAAATCACGGCAGAAGTTGTTTCCCTTGGCAAGATCAGAGTATTGTCTATGTACACCTACATTACTTAGATTCCATGTGGCTGGGACAAACAAATGAAATCAATTTAAGGAAGGCCAAGTGTATTCTTGCTCATGGTTGAGGATACAGTTCATCCTGATGGACAGTCACAGTGGCCAGAGGTGGTGTCTGGTCAAACTTCACCTGGAGTCAGGAAACAGATGGAAATGAATGCAAGTAATAGTCTCTGCTTCCTCTATTTTAATCGGTTCAAGATCCCAGCTAAGGGAATGGTGTCACCCACTCTTAAGTTGGGTCCTCAAACCTCAGTTAACCTAATCAAGACAATCCCTCACTGTTGTGTCCAGAGATCTTATAGGCATGTCCCAAAACTTATCTCCTCTGTGACAAGCAATTTTCAACCTGTGGGTCATGACCACTTTGGGGGATCACATATCAAATATCCTGCATAAGAGATACTTGCATTACTATGCATAACAGTAGCAAAATTACAGTTATGAAATGCCAACAAAATAATACTATGGTTGGGGGTTTCCACAACACAAGGAGCCATATTAAGGGTGTCAGCATTGGGAAGGTGAGAACTACTGTCTAGATCCTGTCAAGTGGATAACTGTTAACTGTCACAGCACCTCCTTTAATATTCTCATCTTAGCATCAACAGCTTCTTTATTCCTGCAGAAAGTGGTGGGAAAAGCACTGAATTTTAGTTAACAGTGCAATTATGCAGCCAGATACCACCAAAGCAGTCATGAGTGATGTGGCCTTGAGGATGTCACCGAGTCTCTGTTTCTTCAGCTGTAAAGAGAGCCGAGTCACGTGCACATCCAAGGGTCACTCTAAGGACTGAACAACTAAGCTCTACACTAATTCAACTTAGGAAAGGTCTCATGCTTTCAAGTCACTTCTTCTAAAGAGCCTAGGCAGACTCTCTAGCCTACTGATGGATGGTCCCTGCCAACCATTCACCAGACCACCTGAGATCTGAGATCATAGTGCCATTTCTTGCCTGGATTCTTTCTGAAGTAATTTTTAATTGTTATTTTTTCCATGACCCATTGCCATCATTTCTCCTCTCCAAAGTGTGGCTCACTTTGCAGTCAGACGATTCCTAAAGTGACAGTGAAATATGGCATCCCCTCACTTAGAGTCATCCAGTGGCCTCTCACTTATGCTAATGCCATAAGATGCCCCAAAAGGGCAAACAGAGTCCTGTGTGTTTCCTCCCTGCTTACTTCTACTCACTGCAGAACCTCCATCTCTGTGCCTCTGGCTATCACACCGGTGTTCTCGCATTTGAACTAGGCCATAGTCCATTCTGCCTTGATACGATGATGATAATTAACAGGCAGTAGCCGGCAAATCCCTGCCAGGATATGCTGCCAAGTCCCCAAGTGTAAATACTCTCCATAGCCATAACAAGCTCCATTAGGAAGATGTGCACAGGTCATAGTTGCAGGTTAGTCATAGCTGCACCTATCTTACTGTGAAATCTTGGTTGTACTTCTTCTATTCCTTCTACCTAGCATATTGTGCTCTTCCCCCTTTCTCAGTTAAAGCTTGCTTATTCTCACTTTAGGCATCTATTCAAGGAAGTTTTCTTATGTCCTACCCTTATTTACCTACCCCCTTGGTACCTGTTTATATACCAACTTACACTTTTATTCCCAGTATGTTCCTGAAACTTAGTGACGTGAATCATTTTTGTGTTCCTTTCTGTTTTAACCCATTTATGAGCTTCGTGAAGGATATTGTATGCCTGCATCATTCACTCCTGCACCACCATGGCCTCTGTGCTTTCTGAAACAAAGGGACTCAAACAATGGAGGTCTATGAATGATGCATATACACCTCAATTCAGACACTATTTCTGACATTAAGAATAACAAGATGTATGAGGTGCAGTGGCGACTAGAAAGACCTTGTAACTCCTGTAGCTTTGCAGCAAAAATCATGTTGTGTGTGACTGGAAAACTCTTGGATGTGCATCTAGTAGATTGATCTGTGTTTGACATCTAGGAGGAGTGCAATAACTATTTTTGGATGTCAAGCAAAAAGATATGTTTTCAAGGCATGTACAGTATGAGAAAAGAGAGTCAGCCCTGGTCTTGAGATGGTATCTGGAAAATGTTCAGAGAGAACAATGATTTGATAGCATCTCCAGCACAGGCAATTACGAATACTTCAGAATTGGATTCCAGCATGAGCAGGCTCCCTTCTCTCTCTAGCTTTCTTTCTGAGTCCATCTAACTCAGTTCATTTTACAACTATGCTGAGTATCAGCAGTCGTCTGTATTACTGAGCAGCAACACACAGTGAGATGTCTGGGAACTTGGCAGGCCAACATCCCCACCGTGAATAAAAATGATGTGGGCCAATTGCTCACATCTGTGGAAACCTAAGTGACTGTGAAGGCATACTCCAGTCCCCCAGCTACAGAAAGACCTGCAAGTCCAGCAACCCTAAGCATGCCCCAAGAAATGATGGGAAATTCAATTTCAAAAGGGCTGTTTGCAAAGTAATCCAATACATATAGTGTGTGCATTATTATTGTATTATATTGAGTAATATCACATTTAAGGAGATTTCATAGCATCATAGCCATGCACAAGGGAATATAAAAGCAGTTCATAAAGAGAGGAGCACAATTTCCCTTCAGTGTTCGTTATGCTCCCATTATCCTCTGAATAATAATCAGAGGTCCACTTAGTCTGACTTGGAAAGGAACAGATCTGTAATTACCTCAAGTCTACAGTGTCCTTCCAAGGGCTCAGCTCCAGTATCGGGGCAATGAATCCACAGAGAGACTGCAGTTATTGATACCGAGGCTGAAGGAGGAACACAGCAGCAATTCCAACAACACCCCCTTCCATCTCCCATTATGGTGAGTGTCCAGAGCAGGCATACACTAGAATGAAGGGCTATATGAAGCTGAATCTTGTTTCCAATGATTTCCTTCTACCATGGTTGGCACCAAGAAAAGGTATCATGTGATCCCTCCTGATCCCACCACCAACTTTTGTTCTATCACTGCTGAAACTTATGAGGGAAATTGAAAGGTAATATGCTGAAGATCTGTTGAGAAAAATAGAAGACACTTTAAGGACTTGATACAAAATGACTTTCCATGGCTCTTGTGAGATTCTTCCTGGGAACAAATACTTTTCCATAGGAGAAACCACCTTGTGTATACCTCGCTATGCATTCCTTTCTAGAGAAGGGGTGTCTGCTATCCATTTTACCAAAAATATTGCTTCTATTTTCTGTACCTTTGCTTGCTAGAATTGCCAAGGTATTTTAGAAGAAGTGGTGTCAGGATAGGAGTGGTAGTGCATACCATTAATCCTAGCACTCAAAAGGCAGAGGCAGGCAGATCTCCGAGTTCAGGGACAGCTTGGTCTGCACTGGGAAACACTGTTGAAAAAAATTAATTTCTTAAGAAAAATGAGGAAAGAGGGGAAAGAATAATAACTTCACTATCATCCAGAATGGAAATGGGGCAGGGGATGTGTGATCCACATCTCTCATCTCCCGGAGAAGCAATTTAAGAAGTTAGAGGAAGCTTTTTGACTCTCGTCCCTTAACTATAAAAGTGCCCACATTAGGTTTAGAATTAGTGGAATTGGATCATATACACGTTGCATAGTCCCCATGTCTGACACTTATCCTATTAAAAACAGCCATTAAAAACTGATCATGATGGTGATGGCTGCTAGCCCAGCATAAAAATAGCTGAGGCAGGACAGTCATGAGACCCAAGACAGCCTAGGCTACATAGTAAGGCACTGTCTTTAAAAACAATGATAACAGCAATAACAATAACCATTTCAGTACTCATTCTGTGACTGCACCTGCCTTTGTTAAAGTCTGTATCAGTAGTGATATAGGTTTCTATTTCAAAGAAGAAAGTCAGGACATTATCTCTCTGTGTACCTCTATCTCTATATATTTTGTATATTTGTTGAACTAAATAGCTATATATAGACTATACAAATATAGATGATATAGCTGTGTGCATAGGTTGGCAGGTAGATGAATGGGTGGGTGAGTGGAATTTGAATATATTCTTAAAACATAACCCAGCAAATCCATAAGTGTAGAACATGTATCAACAAATGCCTATAAGGGCTAATTCTTGCCATAGGCTCACAGACCTAGATCATACCACCACAATCCCAGAACTACATATATATTGCTGGATTTTTTTCATCTTTTAATCAGAATGACCTCAGTCTATAAAAACTCTCATTTTAAAATATAGCCAACACATTTCATTCATGAATCTCACAAAACATGCCTGAGGTCTGAAGAACACCAGCCAATTGTCAGTACTTAAACATTTGCCAAGACCAAGCATTGGCAACTCTTCCCTTTGCTAGTTAGACAGTAAGTGTTGCTCCTCCGTGGGTCACAGTTTATTGTCACACTCACTCAGTTCTGAGAATGTGATGCAAAAGTGTCCAAAGGCAACTCATGAACCAATTGCTACAGTGTGTGCCAATAAAACTTCATCTTTGGAAACATCAGGTAGTCTATAGTTGCATCAGCAGCCATCTTTAGCTGACTCCTGGCCTAGATTCTTAATGCTGACAATAAAAGCTTGTAAAAGCCTTGTGATAAGGGATTGAAGGAAGGATCTGTGATAAACCTGATAGGTGAACCTATCAGGGAGGAAATCTGTGACTGTTTGCTTCAGATGGAAACATTCTCCCTTGGAAAGAAAGGGGAGGTCCACTGAACACATTAATCTTACAAGACTGCTAAAGGCTCTTTCATGAAGTTACATAAGCAGCAAACTGTTACAGAGGAAGAGGAGGCTCTTCAGTGAAACTGCCTGCAATTTGAACAGGGGACTCAAGGAATGTTTGGGTGGCATTTACCTTCATTTGTAATTTTCCTGTATCTGGGGTGAATAGAAATAGTCTCAGAAAAACTCAGCTGCAGCAAGTGCTGCCAAATTCCCTTCCTCAGTTTCCATCAGGTCCCCTCTAGTCTCCTCCATTAAGAGTATAATAGCTCTAGCTACTTGAACTTTGATAACTTTATCCATGTTTTATGAGAATCTTCCTGGGTTCAAATAATATAGCTCCAGAAAAAATTATTCTGGGCCCCTTCAAACAGAAAAGTTCCTTAAATCCAATGTCATATCCTATTTCATACTTGTCTCTAAACTTCTATTTCCTGGAGGTGAGGTGGTTGTGAGATATTCTCACATGCATTCTCTGTGCTCTATCCTTAATTTTCTTGTATACCCCCTGTATTAATGCCTCTGAGAGACAGTGCCTGGAACCCTAGGCAATTCCTCTAATAATTGTTAGCCTGACTCCTTCCTAAAGAGAGAAAAAATGGAACCAAGTACACCTCCTCTCACTGTCATTAGAGTAGCACTAACATCATGGCTTCAAACCAAAAGGGAGCTAATTTGTCTTCCTACATAAGGCTAGATAACAGTCTATTTAAATTACAGGGCTGCAATATGAAGCAAAGATGCAGAAGTCAAATACAATTTAGGTTATAATTAGTGATTTCCATGTAAAAAGATTCTCTAGGAAATCTAGAACTCTTCTAGTTGCCTTGTGAAGGGTATGGAGGCCACGTTCACTCTCTGGAACCAGTGGACACTACCAGAGGATGGAGGGATAGCGTTGGGGAAAGGAAGACAGAGACAGACATAGAGACAGAGAGATAGAGAGAAAACAGACATACAGAGAGAATACATGCAGGAATGCTTACATGCTCAACTCTTGGATGTTCACACTGAAGCTATTCAGAGTTAAACCTAAAGTAGGGACAAAGAGTATTAAAATATCTGCCTGCAGTGATGTTATTATTGAACTAGAAAGCAATTAATGTCAATAGGTGATTTCCAGTTCGTTCTAGAATCACTAGGATTAAGTCTTCGTTTACTTAGCATTTGGAACTCAGTTTCCCCCTCTACGATTTTAGCATCCTTACATTAATCCCTCCTCAATGGTTGTGTGAATGAAATGGTTTAAGGAAGACTTGAGTGAGGAGGAAGAGAGGTGTCTCTGATTGCCAGTGGAGTCTAGTTCTACATTTCTCAGCTTTGTGACATTGAGCATCCCCTTCTCTGTGGTCTGGGTTCCTCACCTAGGTGAAAAAACAAAGGTGAACTACAGTGTCAGGCTACTCTGGATTCTCAATGGGATTCAAGGAGTTGATGTATACAGGCTTGAAACTCTGCTACCCCTGCCTCTATCCTGAATGCACTAAATGCTGGTTATTACCCTCCTTTATTGCCAATAACAAGAGTTCCTTCATCTTGCTTCCTTCATTTAAGCACAAGAAATTGATGTTTCTTTTATTCCATCTCAAGATGGACATTTATATTTCTCCTTTAAAAGGCCAGAACTATTAATTTCTTCAAATTTGAATTTTATAATATACAATGTCACAACCTTTCTTAGGGAAAATTACCTTTTTACTCTCCAAACAAGACTTTCTTACTTGATCCTTCAGTTTCCACTAGTCCTCGTAACCTGGTTTGCTTAAACTGCACAGTTGGAAAACCTAGATGCCCCCCCCATTATTAAATGAACATGACCATTTAGCTTTCTTCTTAAGGGCACTGAAACTGCATGAAAGCCAGGTCCTCAAGGATGGAACCTTCTGTTACTAGTGTCAGAAGGATAGCTCATAATCTAGCAGGGAACAGCATTCTGTTTAGAGCCTTGAAGACAGAGGCTTTATGAGGCATTGAGACCTCCAAGATGCCCTACCAACTGTCGTGTGAGGTCTCTTTTCTCTGCCCTCATGAATAGAGTTCATCGTTGTGCCCCTACAGGTCTTTTGCAAAGACAGACATAGCTTGACAAGATAGGGTAACATCTGAGGATTTAGCAGTTAGCAGCCTCACATGACTCACAGATACAAAGGTCAAAAGCTAGGCCCCCTGTTAGTGTTCTGACTCTGCAGTGACCATGTGTGTCAAGAAAGTGCATATCTACACAGCTAAGAGCTCAAATGGCATGTTGTACAGAAAGGGAGGCCCAAATTATACTGTATAACTACTGTTAGAAGTGGCACCACTGGGCTTTGTTCACATCGGTTTATTAGGTCACATCAGGTATATGCACCCCCAATCAACTGTGGAGTTCAGGAAACAGGAAGAAAAGGGGGATGGGCAGAGCCAAGAAGACTGTGCCAAGACAGGTATAGTGTAGGGCCAGGATATTTTAGGCTACTTCTCTCTGATTTCTGCTGTGATATTTGCTCTGTGATTCAGGCAGATAAGTTTCCTTCTCTGGACGTTCACAGACAAAACATGTACATTAAGGTCCTGCCAGTCCACAAGGTTTTATAGTCAAGTTCAAATAGATAACGAAGTAAGAATACACAGGAGAACTAAATTACTGCTTTCTCTTAAGAATAATTCAAAAGATAAAGTAACAGATCAACAGTTCAAAATTACAACTGGCAATGCAAAATGGCAGCAAACTATCCAAAATGAATGATTCTACAAAGTGGAGTCAACAATCCAAATGGCAGTTTATAATTCAAAATGTCAGTCACTAGTTGACCAGCAACTCATCTATTTCTCTTAACTGTAAACACAGGCCCTATCAAATGGTTACAAAGCATCAGGCCAAAAATTTGACAATTCCAGTATCAATGGGAAAGTATTCAGTTATAAATATTTGCTGTAATTCTTGTCTCCATCATAAAGCAGTCTCTTCCATATATGTATATTGCATGCCTAGGCCTGAAAGCAGCTGAGTTTTTACTATCATTTATGTGATAATGTTAGAATCTATGCAGAGAGAAGAATAGATTAGGTAAACCATTGGTTCCATCCAGTTTTAGCATGTCAGAAATTTGGGTGAACTATTCCTGTACCTCTGTCCTCTGTTCATATAAAAAGAACACAGATATTATAGACACTCACTATGAACCTAAGGAATCTATTGCCACAAATTAAGGACATGAACTGATGGTTGGCTAATGATCTCAAATAGGAGCTGCAAAATGGTATGATGTCTGCTTCTACATTTTCTCAAAAACATGCAAGAACAACAAAACTGTTCATTGTGCCCATGAATTTAGTAACAGCATGTATGACTTTTAGCCACTTAGGTATTCAGTACTTGGTACATAGGCAGTCTACTTCATATTCTCATTATTTAGTCACTATCACAATGTCTTCAAATCCCACTGGGTTCATACACTCTCAAAGATTAACCTCTGTAACAAAAAGAGACCCTAAGAGGGTAAACTTGATTGAAATAAGCATACGCATGAAAACGTACAGAACATCAAATACAAAGATAGATGATGCTTCTGATAGGTACCACACTTGCAGTGGAAACATGAACAAAGGCTCCAGATTGAAACACTCATAATGTACCAGAGCTTTCCTCATTTAACCAAACAAGCTGCTCTTGTGTATTATGAACAGAATATCAGGCATCCATTTTTCTAATAAATCTTCCATTGCCCAGTTCTTGGTCTAGACTCAGGAGAAGGGACACTTTGTGGCAATCTATTGTATTCAGACTTAGTATTTGAAACATATTTATCTAAAAATCATTAAATATCAAATTAAGCTTTAAAATCAATTTGGGAACGTGAGATTTAATTTAACTTAAGAGAAAGTACTTTTTAGGATTCTTGTGATTTATTTAGTTTCCTGGATTATAACTCTCCATCCATCCCCTTCACCTCCTCACCTGGCCTTGAATTCTGATCTTCTTACTTTAGTCTCATGAGTAGTGGGGTCACAGACCTATGGTAAAAATTCAGACTCCAAAAAACAATCTTAAGTGTGAATAATTCCAAGCCAAGAGCCACCCTGATTTGGGGTCCTGGTGTGTTTATCATAAATAACTCAGAAGTTCAAAGTTATTTATGTGTACTATATGAAGAAGAAACCAAAGGCCACAGAGGCTAGATGACATGTTTTGGTTCCACTTGGGGTTAGAAATACAATGACTATAGGCTCTTTTCTTTTTTAATTTTCAGTATATGGCTGTGTATACAAGCAAGTGAGTAATTGTGTGTGAACATGTGCCACAGCACATGTATAGAGAGATCAGAGAATCTCCTGAGGAGGTCAGTCTTTGACATCTACCTTGATTCTAATGATATCTTTTTGCTTGTTCAGCTGTACGGCTGCTAGTTGCTTCATGAGGTCTAGAGATTGCCTTGTCTTATCTCTTCCTCCTCTTATCTTGCTGAGAGAACACTTATATATGTAAATACATGCTACCTCTCTCCGATATTTATGGGCTCTGGGATTTGAATTCAGGTCTTCATGTTTGTCAGGCAAAGTCTTAAGCTACTGAACCATCTTCCCAAGCCTGAGAACTGTGGGTTCTTTACACAGATTCTGTGTAAATGTGACCTTACATAGGCTGCTATGATGCTTATCCTGATCACAGCCAAAGGAATTATCCAGGTCATTTTTCCTTACCTGCCATAAGAATTTTCTAACATGTCAGTATTCAGAATGAACCCTTAGAATTTCAATAAGTGCCCTTCTGAGCCCCCCTGCTTTCTACCTTCCCCTCTATCTGTCTGTCTCTGTCTCTGTCTGTCTGTCTGTCTCCCCCTCCCTCTCTCTCTCACACACACACCAAGGTCCTTTACACCCAGAGCTACTCTGGTCCTCTCAGACATCCTCTGTTAGGCTCCATGGTGCTTGTTGGCTCGCAAACATTAAGCACTCTTATCCAAATGAGACTTTTGAACAGCAAAAAGGTCTTGGATCTTGTTCCTACTTAGGGGAGGGCTGCAATTTATTCTGAAAGCCCTGGGCCATGCATTCTAAAGCATCCCAAGGATGCTGAGGCTCATGAGGAAGCAAGAAGCAGTACCTGTAGCCTAAGAAAGTAGATGTGGTGTTGACAAAACAGCTCAGTGACACTGTCATCCAATATTGAAGCCACCAAAACATTTATTGTAGTTTGCTCAAGGTCTCAGGCAAGAGTGCACTCTAAGAGTGCAGTCTCAGATCTGTTGGTGCTCTCCCTGGGGTGGCACGAGTAATTCTCCCATAGAGAATTCCTGTCTGCAACTGCCAGCTATTCATGCAAGTCCCAGAATGTCTGGAGAAATTCCTGGAACCTCCAGTCTGTGCTGCTTCTGGTCTTATATCTGGCATGCCTGGAATTGAGCATCCCTCCGCTCCTAGGTTTTAGCCCCAAGGTACTTGCCTTGGATTCTGAACCTTGATCATGGGATGGTAACATTTCCATCCAGCTCTTGGCTGGGGGGCAAGAATGAAGAGCTGAGATTGCTCACAGACACTGCAAAGAACATACTCTGACACTGAGCAAAAAGGACTATTTTTGAGGCTAGAAACTCTCTACTTCCCAATTGATGCATCTACCCTATTTTTAGATATGTTGTTTCTCAATGGTTTTGCCAAACTTCCAGTGTAATTCATGAGGATGAAATCTCCCCCAAAGGACAAAGCAATGGTGTTCTGTAAATCATTGACTGGTGATCTTTAGAGGGAAAGAAGAAGAGGTCCATGGGAAAGGGGGGGCAGTGGGAATCACAAGAATGGAAAGGTTCATTTGTCAACTGATCTAAGGCCACATGACTGGTGAAACAGAGGCACAGACATTGGCAAACCCAGAGGCTAGGATCTTGACTGACGTGCCTTCGGAAATTAGAGGGCAAGAATAATGGGCGCCAGGCTTGGGGACAGTTCTGTGTCTGTTGCCCTAGCCTCAAGCACTAAACTGTTAAGGGGGCAAATGGAGAGTGGACAGAGATCTGTAATTGGATATCAGAAGATCTGGCTGAGATCCACACCACTTCTCAACTCTGACATCCTTTGCCTCTTTGTCCATTTACAACCCCATTGCAAAGCAAGGGGTACTGATACCACTGAAAAAATATAAAGCAAGTGTACATGCCTGCAACCTTAATACTTGGGAAGCTGTGGACTTTGAGGCTAACCTGGGTTACACAGTGAGTTCATAATCTCTATAATAAGCCACTGTTTCCAGCAAAACAAAACAGAATTCCTAAAACAGAAGCCTGTGGGGAGAAACAAAATGGTGCAAGTATAGAAGGAATTCCTAACAGACTAACATGGTCTGTGAATCTGGATAGACCTTGAGCAATGAGTGTATACCCTAGTCTTTCTTCTCTGCAACCTCAAGCCATTCTTGAGGTACTTTTTTTCTTTCTAAAAGGGAGGGATGGCCACACCCAAACACATACAATCAAGACAACTATGGATTGAAAATTAGCTGCTGCACTATGCTGAACAAGCAACTTCTTCCAGTTCAAATTAGCAAATGATGTCTGCTAGTGAAATAATCAATATGTATATTTTAAACCCATGTACTGTTCAAAGATATACTAAGATATAATAATAGATGAAGGGAGGTAGACCAGGATATTTCTATTTCACTCTTCCCTGTAGCCTGATTGAGAAAGACAACAGACCAGATCAATCACAGAAGCTGTCTGCATCTCCCCCACGGGGATACCTTTGTTTGTAAGAATTTGCAGAGGTAAAAATAATGACCTGGATTTCAAAGCATAGTACAGACCTTCCCAATACAGCACTGCTGAAGTGGGTGCTCAGTGGATCTCTACTGTTTTGAGCATTCAGGTGGTGAGAGGTTAGAGGATTTACAGATTGGATTTATAACAGACCATAGGAATAGAGCTGCAGTTGAGGGAAACTCACTAGCACAGCCACTAAAAACAAAAGTCTCTGTACATGGTTCCTCTTCCTGTCAGCAAATGCAGGCTGCAAACTCAGTTCAGAGAACCAAGTTCTTCATCCCATCAGAGTTCAGAGGGAGGGGGCAAGTGGAGGAGACAGGCAGACTGCAGAACAAGCGTTAAAAATAGAAGTCAAGTTGCTATAGGAGATACATGGAGAATTCTCCACTCACAAATCTCTAATTATAATATGTCAAGAGTAAAATACCTCATGAGAAACAGTATCCTGGAGAATACAGCAGTGACTCTGTCAGCACTGTGATCTGGGATATGTTTGGAATCCTGTACAAAATAGAAACTCGGCAAAAAATGTCCTGCAGGGAATTGTCTCGGGCCCTGGGGACCAGCAGAGATGACCTGCTAAGGCTTTTCTGCCCATGCCTTACTTAGCTCTGGTTGGAAGCTCAAGGTTGTACACCGTCTCCCTTTCAAGATACTGCAATTTTTGTTAAGTCATGTGCATATATTAGATGTTCTTGGAGGCCACCATATGGATAGATGTTCTCTTTTACCCTAAACCATTCGGTTTCTCCAAGAAAGCATGGCCTCCACAACGTCCTTAAAATGACATTAAACACCATGGATATATATGTCAAAGGATGGCTATTCCAGGATTAACACTCTCCTATGAGGAATAGCCTAGATATTCTCCCAACTTTAACTTTTTCTTTTTTTCCCCTATGGTTTGTGCTAAGACATGCTGTAGAGTCTACGTTCAACAGTAACTTTTTGTTAATATAAGACTGTGTATGCAACACACAGAGAAGCATCATTTTGACCCAATTTGAAGTGCAATTTCTTCCATATGAGACACAGAACTTGAGAGGAAGAGAAAACAACTCCATCAAGATGTAGAGAGATGGAGACAATTTGAAGTAAGTCTGTCATAGACAAATTCACATTACAAAAAAAAAAGATGTGAAGCAAGGAATGAAGTCAGAGAGAAGGATTGGCAGGCAGGCATGTGTGCATCAGCCTGGGAACCTGAACTCTGCTCCCAGTCTCCGTGTACAAAAGCCAGGCGTGACCACAGTGTGCCTCTGTCACCGGGCAGTGGGTGCTAGAGACAAAAACACTACTGGCACTTGGAAGGCCTACCAACTTAGCTGAGAAGACAGTGAGCTCCCGGTGCAGTGACAGAGCCTGTCTCAAGAGACTAGGGTAGAGAGCCATAGAGGACATTCGAGGAGTTCCTTTGGCCTCTGCATGGGCATATACCCAGATACATAGAAGTGTCTTCCTTTTTGGCCAAAGAGAGGAAAGAATCTGCATATAACTGTTTGAAGCAGAAAAGATGGTGTCTGTCTTGTTTCACTTCCTCTCCCATGGTGTGCATCATTTAAATAGGACCAGAGAAGACAAAGCAATGGCTAGCCCCACCCCATAAACATGTTTCCTAAACTCAGGATTTCCCTGCTTTCAAATAGTCTAAGATTTTTTTCAGAGCATTTTCCTGACATCTTTGCCCCAAATCCAAATCACACTCCCCCATTTCCAAATATCACCCCTCATTCCCAGTTGTTACAGTGAGAAAATGTAGGTCATACATATTTAGAAAATGACTGTCTCAAGAAAGTGATTGTCTTTAGTAAAAGGCGAAAGATTTATACGATTTGAGGAGAAACAAGAGTATAAGCTAAACACTAAACTAAACTCCTGGAAACCAGTTGCAGAGAGGGAAGAGTAATGAGAAAAGGGGTCAAGACCAGGCTGGTAAAACCCACAGAAACAGCTGACCTGAAAAAGGGGGAGCTCATGGACCCCAGACTGATGGCTGAGAGGTCAGTATGGGACTGATCCATACCCCCTGAATGTGGGTGTCAGTGAGGAGGCCTGGGCAATCTTTTTGGCCTTGGGTACTAGATCAGTATTTATCCCTGGCATCTGAGTAGACTTTAGGAGCCCACTCCACATTGGGGGATGCTTTCTCAGCCTGGACACATTGGGGAGGCCCTAGCTCCTGCTCTGTATGATATGACAGACTTTGGAGATCCCCCCATGAAGGGCTTCATCCTCTCTGGGGAGTGGAGTGGGTGAGCGGGGATTGTGTGGGGGGTTGGGAGGGTTGGTAGGGGATGGGGAAGAAGGGGAGGGAGAGGGAACTGGGATTGACATGTGAGGCAAGCTTGTTTCTAATTTAAACAGAAAAAGGAAGAAAAAAAAAGAAAATTCGTGCCTCTGTTTCTGCTTTGGAACCAAGGTTTCTCTACACTTTAACCACCTATTCTTGCTTCTCTTATGTTTTGAAATTGACATGCTTACTTGTGTTCACATTAGTTCTATTTTTTCTGTGAGTCACCATAGAGAGAGAACAACCCACATATTTATGCAAAATGGAGAAACAAGCTATGGTATGTCCATGCAATCAAATAGGTTTTCAGCAATACAAAGATGGGAGCTACTTACCCATGTGGCCAACAAACATACATTCAGTATCAGGATTCTGGGCTTCCAGGCCCTTGAGGGTGGAAGGAAGAGGCAGCACTGTCTTATACCAGTAAAATGCTGCACTCTAGACCTTATGTGCATCTGTGTCTCTAATGAATTTTGCAGAGGAAGCTTTCCAGAACATGGACTATACATGTTTACAGATCCTTAATTATTATAGGTGATTCCCAGATGCGCATCTATTTAATGTAATTATTGGTGCCTACAGTCATGTTTGATTACCATCCCACTATACTAGTTTTTACATAGGGTGGTGATAAAATATTGTCTCTGTTTTGATTGCTTGCTTAATTCTTACCCATCAAGTCCATCTTTCTGTTTATATTTCTTCATGGTTAACAGGTTTCCTGCCCAACTAATATTCCCTTATATCTATCCTTTCCTTATGTACCAGCAACAAAATCCCACAGAATACAGCTAGATAGTACAGCTTGGCTAAAAGAGTGCTTGCCTAGCATGCACTAAACCCTGGGTTCCATTACTAGCACTGCAGAAACTGGACATGTTAGGGCATCCCTGCAATCCCAACACTTAGGTACTGGGAAGAGGCTCAGAAGTTCGAGTTCATTTTCACTCACACAGAAAGCTTCATGCCATCCTTGATTACTTGACATGATGTAATGAGCAAACAACACATCATAAACTAAGGATACATAGATACAATCTAAATGAGACCCAAATGCACTCACCCAAGAATAAAGATGGTTGGTCTGCAAATGGGTCCAAGCTTTGTTTTAGGGTTGATAAAAAAAAATGTTCTAAGATGAAACTTTGGCAATGGTTACACAGCTGTGTAAATGTTCTTAAAATCAGCAAATCATACACTTAAAATGAATAAATTTGTGGTAGTTAAGTTATGTGTCCAAGTTGTGTTTTTTGTCATTGCTTATTTTGCAGTTCTGGACACTAAACCCAAGAACTTGAACATGCCAAACAAGCACTCTACCTCTGAGATACATCCCCGACCCATATATTTCCATGAAATAGTTTAAAAGTATGCATTTTACTGGGATAGAATTGTGTTGAACTCATCTCTTTAGAGACAGGAAAATAGATGCCTGTGTCCATTTACAAATAAATACAGCAAATGGAAACATGTTCTAACTAATAAGGAAAGATGCCCAGTCACTAAGGAAATATCTGGGGGAAGCTGGTGGTATAAGGAGAGGTATAGATTTGCTTTGCTTGACAAGATCCCCAGCACACAGGGTACATGGTTCACCACCAGTGGCCGGGCTGGGGCACCTGCTCAGGGAGAGCGCCCTCCAGGTCCAGAATTCAACATCCACTTACTGTGGCGGTGCCAGAGACGGTCTGCGCACTTGTGTCAGCGTTCTGCTCCGAGTGCGTCTGTGTAGGAGGATACAGGTTTAATGTGTGGTCGGGGACGGTGGTCTGGCCGGTGTACTCTGGCGCGGGATGGGGATGAGGGGCCGTGTATTCTGCGGGGATGCCATTCTGAGGTGGAGCAAACTGGGCAGAGGCATAAGGCTGAGCCATTGTGTCAGGGGCGGCTGCTGCTTCCTGATTACCCTGAGAGAGGAAAAAAAAAGAGAGAGAAGAGAACACTATTAGTGCTCTGCAAACAGAACTGTTCTCTAGAGTCCAGGGATTCAAGTCCCAGCACACTTCCTAGGTCCAGCTGAAGACATCCAGGCCAAGAGGCACCACCCCAGCCAACCCTCAGAAAGACACCTTGAGAAAATAGCAGTCATCTTATTCTCACTCTACAGATGGAAAAATCAAGGCACACTATGATGAAGTCACTTTCTCCAAGAATCCAATCAAACTTGCTGAGACTGTATGATCTGTACACCTGATTGGTGGAGAATGTAGGGTCTGTCCACCACTGGCAGATATTCTTTGTTTCACCTCAATTTTGGAAGAGGTTAACATTATGTCATCTATGGTGACACTGGAGTCCCAATTTGATACAGTGCCAAGAACACTGACAGTGTGCTTGACAGGGTATTTGGACTGATTTCAACTATTAGGTGCTTTTGAAGGGCCCTGGTAAAGATCTCTCTCTTTCTCTCTCTCTCTTTCTCTCTCTCTCTCTCTCTCTCTCTCTCTCTCTCTCTCTCTCTCTCTCTCTCTCTCTCTCTCTCTCTCTCTCTCTCTCTCTCTCTCTCTCTCTCTCTCTCTCTCTCTCTCTCTCTCTGTGTGTGTGTGTGTGTGATTATATAACAATTCATCCTTCAGTTATAGCCTAAACATGCAGTATGATAATTACAGTCAAGTCAAAAGAATTTTAAAAACCCTGAATTCAAATGTTTCCATTTTTGGAAACATCTCCCTCCCTCCCTCCACCTCCACCCCCATAACTCCAACACCCTTCACACACTCTGCATACACATATGCGGAATGCACAAGAAGCAGTAGACCAGAGGTCCAAAACTTCAGTGGTCTCAAGAGATACAAGTCAACAGTCAAAAAGGAAGGGAGGAGAGGGAGGGGGAATGAGGGAAGGAAGGAAGGAAGCAAGGCAATTAAGCTCAGCAAATAGTGGCCCCTTTTCTTTTCTGTGGACAGTTATGTGTGACTTTAGCCCTCCTACAAGAATTTCAGGGCACACACATCGGTATGTCTAAGCAAAGGAGAGGTAATTTTGGCTGCTCCTCCACATTGGCAGTAGTGATGGTGGCACAAAGAATAAGTTAGAATCTCTCTTTTACAGTTTTCTTCCCTTAACTAGATTTGTGATTGTAATATCAGATGGACACACACACACACACCACATGCTGCACAGCACAGACCATCCCTTTTACTCATTGGTGCTCAGAGGACAAGTTTAGAAGCTTAGTGACATCACCTTTCACCTTCAACTTGGTACTTTATGTCACCAGTTCTTAGACAAGTATGGATACTCCCAGGAGATTCAAGGCAAGGGCAGGAGACATTTTTGTTGTCACAGCTCAGGAAGGCTGTGTTATTCGTATTTAGCTCTTGGACACCATTGATACTGCCGAGTCCTAGGAGTGTACAAACTCCCAAAGGGCTATCCATAGGCCTCAAAGGCTAATAATGAGGATGTCTAGAATTCTTGCTTTGCATGTACTAGACCCCCTAGTCTATTTAGCTTAGCAGTCAGATATGCTTCATCTAGAACTAAGAAAAAAATGATTCAAGATCCAGGGCACAGACCATTCATGGGAAAGCAAGAAGCTGAACTAAGACCCATCTTCCCCTTTCATTTTGTGAGAGATTCACCTGATTCAGAGGTCAGTTGAGTCTGCAAAATGAACACACCCCTCTCTGTAACATATATATCTGTACTCCAACCTATTTCACTTCCTCCTGTGGTAAGGTCGGGATGCAGGATACCTCTGACTCTGTTTTACAGACGCAGAAGGTGCCCCTGGATACCTGGTGGCACAGCAGTATGGGAAACCTCTGTGCTAGTTCAAGTTTGAGACCTGTCTCCAGAGTACTCTGAACCTGTCATAGGAAAGGCAAGGACCAGATAAGAATGTCTCTGGACCCAGAGCAGCAGAAGCTCTCAAGATCTGTGCCACTCTGTCAGACACAGGTGTCCAGCTATGAGGACCAAGTCAGTGAAAACCAAGTGGACAACAGTTAGCATCCAGGTACAGTGGGACTCTGTATTGCATCTTGTACGTGGAGGTCTCAAACAGATGTTGGCAGGACCCCCTACAGTTACTTATTAACACTGACATCTGCTCCAGAGAGACCCTAATTAATATTCCCAACATTTGCACTTTAGGCTAATTACAGCTAATATTTAATTAAGATCATTGTACTTCCTATGGAAGTATTTTTCACCTTCAAATGACTTGAGAGATGTCTGTGTCTCCTCCCTATTGATGCTCCTAGGTTCTAAGTTCAGGTTGAAACAAATTTTATTAGAAAATTACATGAATGATAAGGACACCCTTTCTGCTTCAGGTCAGGGCAAATTCCAGGTATGTGAACCAGATCCTGGCAGAAGACTAAAGCCACTTTGTTATGTGTGGTGGTGACAGGTAAAATATTAAGAGTGTTCTGGTTGGACAATCATTTGCAGAAGCTGCCTCTCCTATACCAATGCCAAGTCTCCACTTTTCCCTAAATAAATGGAACAGCCAGAGAGCTCTGGATATTTGCAGCGAGGGTGCTTTTGGGTGCCCCTCCTTGACAGGGAGGCAACTCTGCTTTGCAAATATCCCCCACATCACCAACCAAGCACTCCAAGAGCTTGTGCAAACTTCACATCCAATTTCCTTTGCCAAGATGTTCTTAGGTTGCTTGCTAAATATAAGAAAAGGGGGAGGATGGGTGGGAAGAGGTCAGGATCTCTCATGTTTTCAAACCCACGATGCTGAAGAGGAGAGCTGTGTGGAAGCATGGAATAAATAAGGCCTCTGAGGGTAAATGTTGAAGAAATTTCCTTGTCCTCATAGATAAAACTTCTTCATAAATCAGATCAAGTCAAAACCTGCTCAATGACATGGAGTCCAGTGTTACCCAGGATGCTCCACAAGGCTTCTTACACTTGTTTATCAAGAGCAAAGGGGTTATTAAGATGCAAACAAATCCTATTCCTTAAAGAAAAAAAATCCCCAAAAGTCATTTCAATTTAAGTATTTTACTGGAGCATGAAATAGACAGAATATTATTGCTATTTTAAGACAGGCAGCATAATCTATTTAGCTTCACATACGCACACATTCACTGAGCCACGCCTCAGATGCAGAGTACTTTCTCAGGCACCAGAAACAATCAATGCTGTCTCTGAGATGGACACAGGAGATGAAGTCCTGTTACTGTTGTTCCCTCTACCCTCCACCCAGTGCCAGATATCCTCTTTCAGCTGTGTGCCACTCGGAGAGGTCCAGTAGAACTAACTCTTCTTAGAGGGACATAAGAACAAACAGTGGAAACCAGGCTGACTTCATATTGGCTTGAAAACTAATGCAGAGCATATTTTAACAGAGAAATAGTCATAGTCCTTCTGTGGCATGAGAAGGGAAAGTGCCTGATTATATAGCTGAACCAAATGTTTTCCTGCAGGTAGGTGTGTGTGTGTGTGTGTGTGTGTGTGTGTGTGTGTGTGTGTATGCGCATGCCTATGTGTGCATGTATATATTTTCTTCAGCTTTAATAGACAAACTCCATTCCTGGAGTACATTTGTACCCTATTTCTTGCCCTAAGCCCTTCTCTTGGATTACCCTAGCTCTTAGAATATCTTAGAATGAAGAAGTGCACAGGAATTGTCAAGAACAAATGAGCTTGCTGATTACACATGTCCACATGGCCAAGGAAAGCATCTGCTCAACCCGAGACCCTCCTGACAAGACAAGCACATACTGGGGTAAGCTCTCTGGAGGACCCTGCCTATCCCCAGTGGCTGCCTGCAGCTTTCAGTCTTGCTGACAGTTTGTTTTACTTGAGTTCAACAACCTGGTCTGCTCTGATCTACGTCTTTGGCAGGAAATTGCACATATTCAGAGAAAGGCTCCTGTGCTGAGCTGAAACAGGCTAAAACACATCATGCCCCAGGGGCAATAAAACAATGCAAAAAAAAAGCAAAATGACACCATTAACCTGCTGGTCCTAGGACAAGCATAGACCCATGCAAAGAGCACCTGCTTCCCCACCCCCGTGTATATATTCATACACACACACACACACACACACACACAAACAAACACACACACTCCACAATACTCCTGTCCTTTCACCAGGCATAATGCAAGATGAAAATTGTCTTCCAAAAATACCAGACTTAGCACTAAAAATCACAAGGCAATGCTTCTGCTCCATTCAAATCAGTTTCAAGTGAAAATTCAAAATACCTGCTGCACCATGCTGCATGCTCTCTCCTCCATAAACTTAGCAGCTGTTCTAATCCCACACCACGGAGCATCTGCCTAAAGCAAGCCTCGATGAGGAGCAAGGGTGTACAGGCTGGGCACTGTGAGAATGATCGGGGTGTTGACGGAGGGGGAGCTGAGGCTGCCTGGCTGACCTCCCCCTCAACATCTGACTGCATCCAAAACCAGCCCCAGATGGGACTCTTCTGCAAGGGAGGCCTGGCCCATCAATCACAGCTCGCTCCTCCTCTGGCTGCTGCTCAGGGTTTTAGAGTGCACCACTGAGCAGATGATTATGTAGTGGAAGGGAAAACACACACACGCACACACACACACACACACACACACACACAGAGAGAGAGAGAGAGAGAGAGAGAGAGAGAGAGAGAGAGAGAGAGAGAGCTCCACTACACTAATAGCTATTTAAAAAACATTAGAAATGCTATTCTATGCATAGCCTGGAGCTGGAATTTTTCATTACTAAACTAAATATATGATATGCAAAGTTATAAAATCCACTGGGGAGCTTGCTACTATCTCATTTCATTTTCTGAGAAAGGAAGGAGGAATGTTTGGGGCCACAGGGAGGGTGAGAGGAGGAGGATGAAGGAGGCTCAAAGAGATCAAGAAATAGTCACAGGTAAATTTAAAAAATACTATAATTACAACAATGGGGCTGTGGAGATGGCACTGCTAGTAAAGCTTGTACCTTGCAAATG